AGAGAAAGAGAGAGAGAGAGAGAGAGAGAGAGGAACAGAGTTGCTGCAGTTGCAGCAACGCGAGCGGAGACGGCGTTGTATCGTTTCTTCGTGAGGGAAAACTCAATTGTGAAACCTAGGAATGTTTTAATATCTGGCTTTTTTTTCCTCATCGACTCCCGCGAACGACATATTCATTGGGCAACCAGCAGACTTTTATCGTGACGCGTCGGGACGGATTTTGGGAGGAACACTTTGAAGTAGCGCGTCTCGATCGTCCATCGCCGGTTTGAAATAACGACGATACGATTATCGAACGAATGACGAATTGACGTTTCGAGCGGCCACACGTCTCTCTCATTTGGTTTTTCTGCGGATTCGCGCGATCGTGCACGTCCAATTACGTTGGCGATTGTGATACGGAAAGCAGCATACTCGACAGATACGGTAAATTTTCAAGATCAATGAAAATTTGGAGTCTCAAGAAGAGTCTGTGAATTTTTATTGCGTGTAATAATTGATAGTTGCGACGAGGAATAACTTGTACAAATGTCGATACGATGATTCAGTCAAAATTGACGAATTTTGTCTGACGTGAAATTAAGATAATAATTTGATTAGGATAGAGACACATGTATCTAATTCAGATTTGAAAATTTTTCCTATTCCAACTATGTATATATGTTGAAGATAATTATTATGTGAAATTTATAGAGATAACGATATTTTGAATTTGCATATATTTCTTGGGATATAATCTTCAAATTAAAGGTAAAAAGTTGAAATTTTTGTATTTCTCTGATAAGTCGGTGAGATGTGCACGATCATGGAGGTATCTCGTTCGTATCTCTCACAATCAGTTAAAATTGCGTTTCGCGAATAGACGATCCGCGGATAGAATCACTATAAAAGGACGATTTCGTCACTTTGTTAATATGGCAGGCAGGCCGTTGGACCAAAACGAAATCGACGAAGACGAAAAGCCGGAACAGAATGGATCGGAGGCCAGTCAAACGCGAGAAAACGGCGACAAAAATATATAAATAAAACGGTGCTGTAGTGCGGGCCAGGATTTCCTATTTTTTCTCGCATAGTCGAGGCGTAGACGAGGCGAAAACGACGCGAACAAATATAAGAAGAAAAGAGAAAGATAATATAGAGCAGCAGAGCGCGCAAGAAATGAAAAAGGATGATCCACACGCACTCATCTCATGACTCTCTTTAAAAGTAACGACTGAAAGACTCTAGGCTGTACATAAAGTATAAGGCATGTATGTTCGGTGTTTTAAAAATGCAAAAATTCCTTATTAACGCAAAAAAAATTATACCTACGAAAAAAGTAAACCATATTAAGCAAGGCTACTCTCTCGGTGTTTTTTGGAACTAAACTTAAAATTTACCCTATTTAAAGCAAAAAAACCATGAATAATGTAACTTTAAAGAAAGCGCGCGTAAACGCGAAAACAAGTTATAATGAGTGTAAACGTTAAGGTCTCCTTAGGATTAAAGAAAAAAAAAAACACAAGCTGAACAGCAACAAAGCGAGATGCAAGCTAATTATGATTGTGTGTAAACGTAAATTTAAACCTTCCCCTCTTCGCCCCGTGTCCGTTAGATCACTTTTTAACTGTCCACCGACCCCTCCCCCTCCTCCCTCACCGCCCTTTTCTCCCCTTCACTTCACACACTCGCACACAAGAGACACACTTTCGACAAAGTATATAAATCACTCGGTGTGTGATTTGAGCTACTCGATGCCTCGAAGTCTTTTTCCAAACATTCACCAGGCGTTATTATGCGAAAAGGAGGGAAATATGTTTATACACTTGTTCCGCGACCACTAATTCACTCATCCCCCTCGACACCCTCTTCCACCCCCCCCCCCTCCTCCCATACCCGCGAACTCGCATCATCGACACACCCAGAAACTTAAGCCCCGATATCCTTTATCGAAAGATTTATCGTTAGATGTGAAAAAAAATGATATTTATCGTGCGGATGATAGTAAAATACGTGCGTAAACTATGATTGTCGTTAATTCAATTTACGGTTACGATGTTTCGTCGCGACGTTTGGTGCGGTCTATAATCGGCGGATCTCAAATCTCCACGATCCATCTAGTGCAACACGGTACCGTCTTTCGTCTTCTTTCTTTTTTTTTATTTTATTTTTCACGAGAGGACAAGTGATACACCTACGAAAAAAGTAAACCATATTAAGCAAGGCTACTCTCTCGGTGTTTTTTGGAACTAAACTTAAAATTTACCCTATTTAAAGCAAAAAAACCATGAATAATGTAACTTTAAAGAAAGCGCGCGTAAACGCGAAAACAAGTTATAATGAGTGTAAACGTTAAGGTCTCCTTAGGATTAAAGAAAAAAAAAAACACAAGCTGAACAGCAACAAAGCGAGATGCAAGCTAATTATGATTGTGTGTAAACGTAAATTTAAACCTTCCCCTCTTCGCCCCGTGTCCGTTAGATCACTTTTTAACTGTCCACCGACCCCTCCCCCTCCTCCCTCACCGCCCTTTTCTCCCCTTCACTTCACACACTCGCACACAAGAGACACACTTTCGACAAAGTATATAAATCACTCGGTGTGTGATTTGAGCTACTCGATGCCTCGAAGTCTTTTTCCAAACATTCACCAGGCGTTATTATGCGAAAAGGAGGGAAATATGTTTATACACTTGTTCCGCGACCACTAATTCACTCATCCCCCTCGACACCCTCTTCCACCCCCCCCCCCCCCCCCCATACCCGCGAACTCGCATCATCGACACACCCAGAAACTTAAGCCCCGATATCCTTTATCGAAAGATTTATCGTTAGATGTGAAAAAAAATGATATTTATCGTGCGGATGATAGTAAAA